CAATCTGGAAACGTTATAGTGAATTCGACGAACTGAACGACAAACTTATAAGGCTATTTCCAAACAATCCTCCACCTTGTGAAATGCCAGCGAAACACTATTTTCAATCCACGCTAGGAAATCCGGTGTTGGTTGAGGAGAGGCGCCGAGGTTTGGAAGAATTTTTGAGGGGAATTCTCTTCCACAAGGATGATCGTTGGAGGGAAACCGACGAGTGGAAAGAATTTCTAGCCATACCGACCGGAAGGTCACTTGATGCAACAACAATGTACACCTCGGAAAGCTGGCTTGACGAGTACAATCAAGTACAGTCGATGACCAAAGAGATTAGGTCATTCCTTAACCGTCGTGAAACTCATATTATCAACAATGAGGTTCAGGCCTCACATAATTGTGGAGTACAAGCCAAAAAAAGTTTGGCGACCCTCGGTGTACGGGTGTCCCAACTTGAAAGCGGTCTCACGGGCCTGGCAAAGGGGATGGGAAGAGATGGGAAGGTGATGCCCGAGGGTGAATTAAGAAGACGACAAGATCTCTTGAATGATCTCAAGGATGAAAAGGACATGTTAAACAAACTTGTGCTGGCCAATCGACCAGACATCAGCAAGGCCACAACTCCCGCTAGTTCCGTTGATCGTGCGGCCTTATTCCGTCAACAACCTTCCAGGCAACGTACATTACCTCAACAGCCCGGTCGATTTGGGAACAACATAAGTAAAGGAATCAACGGACCTCCACCGTCGCGACGCGTCTTTGGAAATTCTCGCATGATGCCGGCTGAAACCGAGGTGACTCGAGGCTTGGATAACGAAGGTCTTGTGAATTTACAAAGGCAAACCATGGAAGATCAGGAGCATCACGTCGAGCAATTCAGCGCCATATTGAGTAGACATAAACAAATTGGATTAGCAATTGGTCAGGAATTGGACATTCAAAATCAAATGTTGTCAGAGTTAGATGTGGATCAAACGGCGAGTAAATTGAGATTTGCCACGAGAAAATTGAATTCCATCAAATAAAATTTTGTTACTCGAGAATCTTTTGTGAGATGGAACTTATTCTTCATGTTAAATTAATTAAAGCAATTCACAGAATCACATGTGTTTTTTCTTTCATGTTACATATACATTATGTCTATATATATGTTCTTATATATATATTTGATACTTGCGAATAATGATTTTGCTGTCAACGAATATAAGGATATCGAGGGTCACATATTGCAATTTGAAGTTGAGAGATACAGTATGTAACATCAAATATCAAATGTTTAATAATAGCATGTCTCGCCCTAGCCCCATTTTTTCCAGATAAGGAGGTTATCACGTGTCAATAATAATTAGAGTTTAGCATAATATACAATACGTGCGCCAATTATACTAACCACTGTATTTGTTTCCGTTTATAAATTTATAAATACAGCAGAAAGCTTTTTAAGAGACAGAATTGGATACCAGACAGTAGCTGCACTGTGCTGTGACAATTTTTTTTTTTTTTCCTAGACTCTAAAATAAGAAAATTTATTTGATTTTCTTAACTTTCAGTATTCCAGACATTGGTAAATATTCTGAAACTTTTTGTCATGAAAGTAGCGTGAAGCCACTTTGTCTGTGTATTTATGTGGATTGCTTATCTATCTTAACGCAAAAGAATGATGTCCTCTTACGGATACAAATCAAATTACGCGCGCGTGTGCAAAGCTTTTGCCAGCAACGGTTATTGTCGAAATGGTCAGAACTGCAGCTATTCGCACATACATGCGACTAGCAACAGTATTTTGCAAAGCCTCGACGGGGAAGAATCTTCTTCGACCCATAAGTCAAGTTCACCTCGTAGATCAGACCATAATTCCTCTTCAAAAGCGCAAAGCTCGAGCGCAAGCTCAACGAACCAGTTCACATCTAATCGAGCACCAAATTCGCACAACAAGCCACATGAAAGCACCACCATTTGCAAATTCTTTCTTAATAATAGTTGCATTTACGGGAACAACTGTTGGTATAGACATGAACTACCCGAGGCAACCGCTAATGTAGAGACAGAAAACAAGGAGACGAATTTTAAGAAAAAGGATAAACAAAAGGAAAAAGTAGTAGTAGAAGAAGAAGAATATACCTGCTCCATCTGTTATGACGCGCCAAAGAGTTTTGGTTTGTTAGGTACGTTGATATCAAAAAAAATTTTTTTTTGGGGGGTTTTTTTTTTTGCACACAATTTTGAATCGCATTCATCACTGAATGATATGTTTGCTTGTTCAATTCTGAAATTTCCATCTCACGAGTCTGCGAGGAGTCGAACTAAAAGAAATTTTGCTTCGATTACCCTGGCATCGTCTTTTTTATTTCCTTTTATTTTTTATTTTTTTTTTTTCGAAATCATCACATCTATTGCTTTACTAATGTTTGATCTTCTCTTTCTCCTCAATTCGATTTGTGATAGTTCACTGCGACCACGTATTTTGTCGTGGTATGACCATTAAATGATTTATTTTCAATGTGAATTCCTGTTCGTGGGTACACAATAAAATTCATACTAAGCACTCTTGTAAACCTAGATTGTATAAAGGAGTGGCGTAAAACAGACGATATTTCTAGTCCTTTCCAAACCATCAACACCACCAAAACTTGCCCTGTGTGTAGAAAAAATTCTCCCTACGTTGTACCTTCTCCGACCTTTGCGAAATCTGGACCAATAAAGGATCAGATAATTTTAAATTACCGTCAGCGACTTGCACAGATTCCTTGTAAATATTTCACGGAACGTAGAACATGTCCATTCGCAGATGCCTGTCATTATAAACATGCCAATCCTGATGGAACAAGGTGTATCTTGGGTCCACCCCACAAGAAAAAGACAAGATCGGTGTGCCCCATAGAAAATTTCCGTTACTTGGAAGTTTCAGGGGAAAGCAGCGTGTTTGATATTTCGGCATTCTCCGAGATTCTTGGACTTTCTAGAGATCATGGCATCCGCCATATTTTTGCCAGAGATTGGAGTGACAATTGGGATGACAAAATAGACTTCGCCGAAAATCCTACATGGGATGACGACTTTCCTTTTGAAGATCAGATAGGCTCGTTTGCCTCGGATAATCAAGATGAAGTCGATATCCCAGATGTCGATAATAATAACAATTCTGGTTGGGAGAATTCTGAATGGGAAGAATGGTGGAGTAGTTGGGATTGAATGTGTTCCAAAAATGGTTGGATGTCCGGTAGCACACGCACCATCTTCATGTATGCACTTTACATTTAAACATTTATCAGAATTTGCTTTAATTTTTTTTTTTTTCTCTAAAAAAAAATCTCGAGGTAATTTGAGTGGTTAACTATTTTTCTTTTTCTTTACTCCGACAAATTTAATACAGTATTCAACTGACTATGAACCATAGATAAACCAACTGATTATTATTCATTTATAGTTGGTTTACAAATAATATAGTAAATCTTATTATTATATTGTTAGTTTTGTGTGCGAGAATATTTATACTTTATAAAATTATCTCCCTTTTAAAGATTACGTTTGGTATTAGTGGTCGGATTTGACTATTTAATGTTGTCCGCTGAGAGTTGTGCTAAACTTTGATTGTACAATAAAAATTACGTATTACAAAAATTTTGGCGAGACTTTCAGTAACTTTTTATATTATCAGCCATTGTTTCCAGATACGGATATTTTTTGATACC